GGGCCCAGGCCTGACGCCGCTGCTGCTGAAAGCAGGTATCTGGTTTGTTTTGGTTCTATAATCAAAACTCTGTTTCAACTCCAGCTCTGAGATCCCGGCTAGCTGAAAGCAGGTTTCTGGGGTTTTGTTTAGCTTCTATATTTGTAACAATGTTTCAAACTGCAAGCTCAGAGGTCGGCAAGGCAGGCGGGGAACGTTGGAGTCATCTGTCACTGAAGCAAGCAAGCCTCATGTTCCTTCAAGCTGCCTGGCTGCCGGCCGCCATCTTGGCTGGCAGTTAATTTGCATATTGCCCTGATTAGCCAATGAGAAGGGTAGCGGACATATGGCTAATTACCATGTTTGTGTTTTATTAGATAGGATTATTTATTGTGTATTTACTATTTAAAACTATTACTAAAAGTCTTAAGATAATAACCTGAAATAACATTTTGAAAAATATACTCAGCTTTTGCTAAACACTTGAAAATTCTGCCTACTTGTTAAATCGTTCTACATAATGTTGCAGGGCATCTTTAAGTCTGGAAACATAGGAAAATGTACATAATGGTATCAAGTATATCTTCCATCAGTTAAAATAGTTTTCTGAAATGTTTGCCGTAAGACTTGAACAGAACAAGAAAATATTCTGTCAACAAAGAGACATGTTTAAGGGCTCAGTGATAGATCAAGCTCAAGTATAGCTCTTGTGAGGAAAAGCAAATAGCATAGTATAGTAGCAAGGGAATTGTTCATACTAACTTTGTAAGGAATATAAATTTCTACAGGTACTTTATCTTTTCCACATATTTTTAACTCTTTGGAATTTACCTGTAACTGTATTTGACATTTTAGTGAGGAATACAGCCTCTTATATCAGCTGCACTTTGGTGTTATGTTTGGTGTTATCTATGTGTGTATTTCAAAACAAGAGAACAAAGAGTGATTATTTAATAAATGATCTTGTAATAGATTTATTAGCAGATTAGCCTTATAATTCATCAAGTCTTAGATTTTTGCCTGAATTGATGTATTACCCTTATTCTTTAGTCACAAACTCATTCTTGACTGCAGGAAAATTTGCCAGGTATAAGGCTCTAAACCAGCTGTGGGTAAACTATGGCCCACGGGCCAGATCTGGCCCGTTTGAAATGAATAAAACTATTGAAAAAAAAGACCGTACCCTTTTATGTAATGATGTTTACTTTGAATTTATATTAGTTCACACAAACACTCCATCCATGCTTTTGTTCCGGCCCTCCGGTTCAGTTTAAGAACCCATTGTGGCCCTCGAGTCAAAACCCACCCCTGCTCTAAACTGTATTGGTGCTTGCATACATGTGTGAATGCGTGTGTGTGTGTGTGTGTGTAGGGCGTGAGGACTGAGAGGGGGTAGGTGTACTGATTGGGCAGCAGCTGGCACCAAGCAGCCCTCCTGCCTGCCTTCTCCTTTTCCCAAGATACATAGGGAAATTGTACTTTGTATAGAGCTTTCTAAAGTAGTACTGGCCACCAAACATTTCTAGGCCCTCACTTCCTATTGTGGCATTTGCATGGGTCAGTATGGGAAGTTTAGAACAGATGGATTAGACTTCGCTGTTTGGGGTAAGGGGAGGTACTTGAAGTCAGTTATAACTGTGATGTAGTACAATACAGTGTAACATACACATGCCATCATAGTTGCCAGTTGCAAATGGGATCCTTTTGAAATTTTATACCTCCCTTTACCTCTTTCTCTCACAATATCCTGCAGGTAGAAACAGCTGTGCAGAATGCTCGCCATCGATGGCTGGAAGAACTGCCTGAGCTTGCAGAGTATAAAGCACGTGTCAGAGCGGAACAGAAGAGGTGGGAAGAACAGCAAGAGGTCTTTATGGCCAAACGGGTAAGAACTCTCCCGGGAAGGGCCCCTCCTGCCCTCTTCTCTCATCTCAGTCCTGGGAATTGGTGCCGACTCACAGGGTTGTTGGAGGGTTAAATGTGATGATGCGTGTTAAGTATTAGCTCAGCGCCTGGCCGGTGGTCCCTTTTCTCATTGTCATCAAGTTGCTCAGGGAGAGAGAATGTATTTAGGAAATCTTGAAACTCACAGAATCAGGAAGATAACCTTACCTGTGAAACTCAGTTGCACTCTGTCTTGCCAGATCTTTAGGAGAAATTGAGGACAGGTGTTTTATTGGTTTACTAGCTATTCAGTGTCCTTTCACCTGCTTAAAGATTGTTTTTTGTTCTGTGTCAGTAGTCTTCTTATAACATACTAGAGGATTGTTACACGAGATTCATTCACTGGCGGAGGCGGGGGTCCCTCAGCCTGGCCTGCACCCTCTTACAGTCTGAGAGCCCTCGGGGGATGTCCAATTGAAGGCGTAATACCTTAATACTGCAGGGAGTGGGCCTAAGCTGCAGTCAGACATCCTTAGCACTGCTGCTGCGCTTCCCAGCCACCAGTCCGGCTTGTGGGTGGGAGCACACTGACCACCAGAGGGCAGCTCCTGCATTGAGCCTCTACCTCCTGGTGGTTAGTGCACATCATAGTGAACGGTCATTCTGCCATTCGGTCGATTTTCATATTACCCTTTTATTATATAGGATTCTCCTTGGTAAATAATCAATCTAACTCTCCTTTCCAGAGATCTTATGTTCCTTCACCATAATCATTTGTATTCTCCCGGCTTAGTTTGCTAGTGTAAATCAATTCTAATCAAAATGCCATCAAACTGAACATAGTCTTAAAATTTGACCCTATGATTTTAAAATTTATTGAAAGACTGAAAGGACTAGAGATTTTTTTTTTAATGTTCTAGAAAAGAAGTAGTAGTCCAACACAGAATTATTGGAAAAGCAATAATTCCGACAGTATAGAGTCATGAGTATAACATTCTTTTTTATTCAGTAAAATACAGACTTCAGAGTTAGGCCCAACTGTGAATAAAACATCAGAATAATAAATAATATTATAATAAACACTCTTCTGACAGCCAGATAACACTTAGGAAATATTAAGTTTACCCACACCCAGCATTGCCATAAAATCTAGGTTGATTAAAGAGTTGTTTTTTTTTTATTTTCCATTGATTTTTAAAATTCTACCTTTATTGTTGCAAGTATTATAGATGTCTCCTATTTTCCCCACTGACCCCTCTACTCTGCACCTGTTACCCCCCAGGCCTTCCATGGATTTTTAGAGAGAATAGACAAGAGGGAGAGAAAGAGAGAGAGAGAGAGAGAGAGAGGAACATTGATGTGAGAGAGACACATAGATTGGTTGCTTCCTGCACGCACCCCAACTGGGAGCAAGTATGAAACCTACAACCCAGGTACGTTCCCTTTACTGGGAATGGAACCTGTGACCCTTTGGTTTTTGGGCCGACACTCTAAACACTGAACATCAGCCAGGGGTAAGGAGTTATTTTTTTACATTAAATCAGATATTTCAGATATGTATCATAATAAAATTTGAGGCAACAGACTCAGTAGCAAAGACAAATAGGATAAAATGTGTACAAATGTTTAAAACATTTTTACTTCTAATAAAAAATAACAAAAGAAGATGATAAAAATAAGGAAAAGAAATGAATCAAACAGGAAGAGCATTATTACTAGTATATGTTAACAAAACAAGCATCCATGAATAAATATGCCAGAGACATGAACAAATAATCTTCATGAGAATTCCAAACAGCAAAAACCAATGGAAAAATGTTCATACCTACCAGGTTGGAGACATGCAAACTAAGCCAAACTTCAGGTGCCATTTTGTGCCAAATGTATAGATCCTCTCTTCTTAGCTGTAATACACAAAACATCATGGATTATAATATCAAGCATGTGCTCTTGTCCCAATGTCACAGCCACTTTGGATAATAATGCGTATGACAGACATTATAAACGATTCACACATTGTATTCATAATCTTATTCCACAAATTACTTAGGGAAATAATCCAACATAAGTAAAAGTGTTTTAATCTAGTTTTAAGTCATGTGGCAGTACCTGGGTTTTTATTACATTATTCTCTATACTTTTTAGATTGTTGAAATAGTTCAAAAGGAAATTTAGGAGGGAGAGAGAAAGAGGAAATAATAGGTGTTATGCATATGTGTCTCAAAGCTGAAGTGTAATAAAATTGGGTAGAATATAGAAAATATAAAAGAGATCATTCCTTAAGAACACAGAGCCCAGGAGAGAGAAACCAAGATGGCGGCATAGGTAAACACCGGAAATTGCTGCCTCGTACAACCACTTCAAAAATACAACTAAAAGACAAAACGAACATCATCCCGAACCACAGGAAGGCTGGCTGAGTGGAAATTCTACAACTAGAAGGAAAGAGAAAAGCACACTGAGACTCAGAGGAGGTGCGGTGTGGAAGTAAAGTGCAGAGGTATGGAGGCGCACGTGGAAAGGGCTGGCAACTGAGGACACAGCACATGCGGGAAGGGCTGGCAACTGAGGACACAGTTGTCTTTTTCAATCGGGAGGGAGACACTAGCTCCCGACAACTCTGAACTCCAGTTCAGGGCGAGTCTCTGGGGACCCAGACTCATACGGGGAGAAACTGGACTATCTGGCATCGGTTGGAACTCGAGGGCGGCTTTCTCTCAGAGGTGCTTGCTGCGATTACTGGGACACTGAGAAGCTGGGCCTCTTAGGGTAGGACTGAGGAGCAGCCATAGCTGCTTGCTCCGCCCTGTTGATCCCTAGAGACCCTGCCCCAACCAGGCCTGTGCAGAGGC